AATCAACTCGTACCGGTGACTACCATGAAGACATGAACGCTGATGTCTTTCAAGAATGGTTCGAACAAATGATAGATCTTCTTCCTAAGAACTGTGTAATAGTAATGGATAATGCAAGTTATCACTCCAGACTTATAGAAGGACTGCCCACAACCAAGTGGTTAAAAAAATACTTGCAGAATTGGCTGAGTTCAAAAAATATTACGTACCATCCCGGATCTATAAGAAAGATACTTTATTCGTTGTGTGCCCTCCATAAAGAAAAATTTAAAAAATACGAAATTGATGAAATTGCCAAAAATCGTGGAATGACAGTACTTAGATCCCCACCATATTATTGTGAATTAAACCCGATTGAACTGGTATGGGCACAGATAAAGAGTGAAGTTTCAAGAAAAAAATACCACTTTTAAAATTCATGATGTTAAACAGTTGTTTTTTAAGGCCGTAAATAATGTAAAACATGAAAACTGGAAAAAGGCAGTAAATCACACTATTAAAGAAGAGGAAAAATGTGGAAGCTGGACAATATTACTGATAAAATGATCGAGCCAGTTATTATTAATCTTGGTTCTGAAAGTTCATCTTCTGAATCTGATTTGGATTTGTAACAAGTAGCTGTAAGTTTTATATTAATATTTTTATTCATCTATTTAACATACCTTAGACGGTTTTAAAAACTCTTTTTCTCTTTTGTAATTTTTAAAAATTAAAAAAAATGTGAACTTTTTAAAACCCTTTTTAATGTAGGCCAGTCAGTTCTAATATAGTGTGTGATAAAAGAGGTCACTTTTGTTTACATACACATAACACTTTATAACACTAAAATAATTCATTTATTTTTTACAATTATTCAAAGTAATTTTTCAATTAATCTTGAGCACGCCCATGGAGTGGTCGGAGGTACCAGTTAAAATTATGCTAATTACTCTCTCGTTCATAAAAATAAACTATAGTGATTTGCTAAAAGAATCACACTTCGATCTATCCACTTCAACTCCCGAATTTTCTGGAACATTATAATTTGTATATATATAAGTAACGATGATTGAGGTAGTTAGTTGATAAGAGAATACCGAACTGTAAATTTATAAATAAATATATTTATATAAATTCGAACCGCTCGTTTTATTTAAAAACGGTACAGTATTTTATTTTTTCTTCTGGGCGTGCATCATCATTCGGACCGTATGTGCCTATTATTGTTATTTTTGATCCTTTCAGGTTGAGATTGATCTTTATGATTCTTTTATTTATTGCTTGCCAGTTCGATATATTCTTTTTGTATTTCTTCAATATAAGTATTGATACTTCTCTTTTGGCATGTTCTTCCTTATTAACTCCCGTGTGTATATGTATATATCCATCAAGATTTTGGGTTCCTTGTCCTTTTTTCTTTGTTTCTGAGAGTAGAGCGAAATCCATTTTGTGTTTTTCATTTCTTCGATCTTCTTCTTTCAGTGCCCTGTCCGATTAAATTAAAGTTGGTTTCTTGATACCATTCTCGGAGATTTCGTAGCCAGGATGTTTTTCGTCGGCCTGGGCCTCTCCTTCCGTCGATCTTACCCTGTATTATGAGGTGTAGAAGGTTATACCTCTCCGGATGTCTCATTACATGACCGAAATATTGTAACTTCCGAATTTTTATCGTTTTTGTTATTTCTGTGCTCTTTTTCATTCGATGTAAAACTATTTCATTTCTTATTCGATCAACCCAACTTATCCGCAATACTCGTCGATAAATCCACATCTCAAAGGCCTCTAATTTTTTCATTAATGTCTCTGTAAGGGTCCAGCTCTCCATACCATACAGCAATGTGGAGAATATGTAGCAGCGTATTAATCTGATTTTAAGATTTAACCTAATATCTCTATTAATTAGAATTTTCTTTAATTTATAGAACGCGGCTCTGGCTTTTTCAATGCGTATTCTTACTTCTTTATTTATATCCCAGTTATCGTTAACGTTTGCACCCAAGTAGGTAATATTGTGGACTCTTACTAACTCTATTCCATACGCTATAATGTTCGTTGGTTGTAACTCCGTTTTGCTGACAACCATTAATTTTGTCTCAGAAGTATTAAGTGTTAGCCCATATTCATCACATGCTTCGGTTACCCTATTCATAAGTCGTTGCAGGTCTTCTTCATTGGAGGCAATAAGTACCGTGTCGTCTGCATATCTGAGATTGTTGACATTAATTCCGTTGATTTTAATGCCTGCATCTTCAACTAAGGCTTCTTTGAAAATAAATTCGGAGTAGATATTAAAAAGTAGTGGCGATACAATTCATCCTTGCCTCACTCCACGTCGTATTTCCACTGCTTCCGTCGTGTTGTGTCCAGCTCCTATGTTTGCACATTGATGCCAATACAAATTTTTGATAATACGGAGGTCTCGGTCATCAATTCCCACCTGTTGCAAGACACCTATAAGTTTGTCATGGTTTACTCGGTCAAAGGCGTTTTCGAAGTCAATAAAACACATATATACTGGTTGTCCTATATCCCTACATCTTTGAACCATGACCTGCAAACTGAAAAGTGCTTCTCTGGTTCCAAGGTTGTTTCTGAAACCAAATTGTGTTTCACTTAGTTGTACTTTTATTTTGTTGTAAATTCTCGAGTGCAGTATTCTTAAGAAAATTTTTAGTACATGACTCATCAGACTGATAGTGCGATGATCGCTACACTGTTTGGCATTTATTTTTTTCGGTATCATTACAAATGTTGATAGTAGCCAGTCTGTTGGTATATGTCCTGTTTCGTATATTTTATTAAAGAGGCTTAGAATAGAATGTTTGCCCTTATCGTTGATTTGTTGAGTTTGATTATTTCGCTTGGAATTTCATCTGGACCGGTTGCTTTCCTATTCTTTGATAGCTTTATAGCTCTTTCCAGTTCATCGAGTGTTATTTTCGGACCAGTTGATATATTTTTGATTTGAATTTCTGTTCTATCGTCATCAAACAGCTCCTTAATATATTCTTTCCACCTCTCTAATCTGTCTTGTTCATTGACTATAATATTTCCTTGTTTATCAAGTAAACTACTTGCAGTTGTTCTATATGTTCCAGTTATTTCTTTTACCTTTTTGTACATATTAAACGTGTCATTCTTTTTCTGTAGTTCTTCTATTTCAAGACATTTGTTGCTGTACCATTTTTTCTTTGCATCCCGAATTTTCCTTCTGATTTGCTTATGAATTTTATTGTATTCTTCAGTGTTTTTATTTTTCTGTTTTCGTCTGATTTCCATTAGTTCCAATATATCATCAGTAATCCATTGTTGTTTGCGATTATTAATAGTTTTATACTTTTTAGTTGTTTCTTGCATAATGCTTTTGACATGATTCCAGTGGTCTTCGACGTTATGTGTTTCTCTCGATTTTTCAAACTTCTTTTTTATCTCGTGTGTAATTTCATGACTATTATTATGAATACAGTCAGTGTTTATTCGGTTAGTCGGTTGTTGGCGTTTTACTATTTTAAGTTTGAGTTTTATGTCACTGATTAATAAGTTATGATCTGAGGGGACATCGGCTCCAGGTAGTATTTTAGTTATTTTGATTGAATTTCCGTACCTCTCATTAATTGTTATATAATCGATCATTGTTATATAATCGATTTCTTCGATAACATCTTCGATTTTGTTTCAAATTCCTTGTGTATTCCGTGTACCACAAATTAGTGTCCGTTTTCGTTACCATTGTCGTCGTCCTTTAGTTCCATCCATATCCCGAGGCTTATTTGGAGTTTAGGATAATACTAGGGTTTGGGCCTGGTTTCACCTAAGTAGGGAGTAGAGGAAAAACCAGGAGCTTGCGTGGGCAGGGAAGCTACCTCCCTGAAGTAAGTCTACCCTCTATCGGGACCATAAAGGGGTACCTACCCGCTACCACCAATATCATTTTGTGATTAAACTAATTTCATAAAACTAATATCATTTTCATATTAAGCATATTAAATAATAGCAAGATACCAAATTTCACTTATATCGGTTAAATAGTTTTCAATATATCCCTAAAAATAATATATTACTGAATTACCCTGTAGAAAGAAAATTAGCAACATTTCGCCTAAGCAATTTGAGCTCAAACGCTTTATTTTGATGTCAGCTATCACCAATTAGCTAATGTCCAATTAATTATGGGACACCCTGTATGATGCCATTATTTATTTAAGCATATTTTAATTCAAAATTCAAAATTTGATAAAATTTCTTACGATTTTTAAACCTTTAAATGTATTTGAATATTATTTATTAACGCCCAAGATGATAATTTTTTAATGACTACATTGGATATATTATTGCGTAAGATTCAAAACGAAAAAATTTCAGCGCGAATCTTTTTATCCTCCAGTAGGGTAATTTAGTTCTTAAAATACTCGCTACTGTCCACCAACTGGTTGCACGTTGCACCACCGTTGCACCCAATGACGTATAATATATAGACTCGGTGAACGCTTTAAAAAGTGTCCAAAACATGAATACCTTTGTTATTGTTTATTGTTTTGATACGAAGATGCACGAAGTTCATGATTTCTTACGAAGCATCACGAAGTTGATCTTGTGTTTGAAAACATCATGGACGTATGAAAACATTTTCTCCATTTTGTGTGACAAGCAAATTTTATTTTAAATTGTTGAGAGTTATTTACTTACTATTTTAGTAAAATGCCATACTATTTTATCAAAATAATTATTTCTCTTATAGACGGGAACAAAAAGAAATCATAAATATTTAATTTTAATTAAAAAAATAATTATTGTCATTAACATATAAATGAGCACGCCGCTGTTGTGATAAACATACCTTCAATCTTGAGCCGAGATCTTTCGGACACTTGATTCTATAGCGAGAATAGGGGACTGCGTAGTATATTATACGTCATTGGTTGCACCTCAATCGAGTACCGTTGCCGTCATGATAAATATGTTGCCGTACACACACTATACACAATATTATTATTGAATTGAGTTACGTTTTGTGGTGAAATCAACAATCTGCAACAAAGTGAATAGGGTTATGAACACATTTTATAGTATATGGAACGGTGTGTTTTATAAAACGTGCATAATTTCTGTGATAAGTATTAGTACGAAAATAATCTAACAGCTAAAAAAGTGTAAACATTCATAATTTTATTTAGGCGGCGCGGCGATCAAATTAAAATATTCCAGAAATTTCTGGATGTTATGAGTCGCCGAGACTTTCACTTTCAGATTCGTAGCAAAAACCTCTATCAAAATTCAAAATTGACTGTTCCGTGGCTTTATAAAAATCAAAGTAAGTATTTTTTTATTTATATATTCTTTGTTGTGTGCTTTTCAACTCTTACAGATATTTATTATACACAGTATCAATACATTATTACTCCTGAAGTTTTCTTTCTTAGAATATAAATAAATATAATTAATTGCTACTCATTGTATCAATTTTTTTACATAATAATATCTGTTTGTAGTTGCTTTTCACATATTTATTTGAACGCAATTTATTGATAGTATCTTATGTATTTTCTTATTCATTGTTCTTATCGAAAAAAATATTACCTACTAAGGTATTTTTATTTCTTTTTTATAAACAATTCGTTAAAGAATCAATTTTATTGCTTTTACAAATAACGCGTATAGAATTATAAGCCTGATGTATACTTTTTATTTAACTAGGTATGTACTGTATGTAAATGTAAGAGTTTTTTACGTCATCCTCTTCGTCGAGCTTGTACTGTTTTCTTATTTTAGGGGCAAGTGGGAACAAAGTACGAACGAAGCTATTTATTAAGTTTGCATCCATGCTTAAAAAAAATTTCGATGCCATTGATTTGCAAACTGTTTTTTTTTACAATAAAATATTTATTTTCAATACATTAAATTGATAAATTTTTAGTTTCAAAACTTTTCTTTTAAAATTTTTTAATTTTAAAAGATATACACCTTTCAATATTAAAAGTATTTATTTTTTTATTACATGCAAATAAAAATTTATAACTTTGAGTTAAAAATAGGTTTGTTCCAACATAACGGAAAACCGTCAGCGTTTTTTATACTGTTTTCCTGCCCAAAAATCTACGAAACCTTTTAAAAAAAATTTAAAATATTTATTATTTATTTATTTAAAATATTTATTTAACTTTTTAGAATATTTACGAAATTATTTCATTGAAAAATTGTCCTGTTAAAAAAAAGTATTCAATGAAACTTTTTACTAAATTTTGAAATTTTTTATTTCATCGAAATTACTTTTTAGACAGGTCTTGAAGGTTTCTTCATTAACCTTTTTCTCGGGGAGGTCGATGCGGACCATGGATATACAATACACTACTGCCCAAAATTAACGCACCACCTTAAATGTACCATAAGTTTTAAGCTATTTTTCTTCTGAACCAATATTTGGATTTTGATGTTTTTTTATGTTATAGGTTTATTTCTAGTAAATCACTGTATTAATGCTTTCTAAAAAATATCAACGTTTTACGCGTATACGGGGTGTAAAATAAAGTTGTGTTTTTCATCGTAATTTGCAACACTATGTGGAATTTATTAGAATGAAATGTTACATCTTATTAATATTTTAAGACAGATTCATCCTTTCTTAATATTTTCGTAAACAAATTATCTTGATATCTGTATTATTAAAGATTGTACAGAATTTTAAATGTAACAAGTTTTTATTAACATTTAAAGCAAAGAAAACATTACTTACATAAACTTTATTGACATTTAATACAAATAAAGCCAAAGAAAACGTAACCTAAATAATCTTTAATAATTCTCTCTCCCAAAAACACTTAATAACAAGTATTTCCACCTCTACATCTAATTACTTCTTCACAGCGACGAAGCATACTTAAAATCAAGCGGCGTATTTGGATTTTATCAATTTTCTATCAGTATAACTTCTATGTCATCAAGAGAGACATGTCATGGTTGTCGGCTCCTGAGTTGAAGATCAATAATATCCCACAAATTTTCTATGGTATTGAGATCAGGGCTGCAGAGTGGCCAGTTCATGGTTTGGAGGCAGTTCATATAAAGAGCAAATGGAACTACATGGTTAGACAAAATGTCTGTAATACACCTTTCACTTATTAAGGAATCTCTTCGTAAAGCTACAAGTTCCGTTCGCGCTGTAAGAGATATTCCTCCCCAAACCATTACAGTTCCTTCATTGAATAAAGTAATAGGTCGTATATGGCACTGTGCGTAGCGTTCTCTTGGCCATCGAATAACTCTCACTCGTCTATCTGTGCTATAAGCAATACCTTGATTCATCAGTGAACAATACGTGCTCCCAGTCAATAACATTCCAGTCAAGGTGCTCTCTGGCAAATTGTAATCTACTTCTACCTTGGTTTCCGTTTAAAGCTGGTGCTGACTGGTATCCTTATATGCAGATCTTGTTCAGCGAGACGCCTTTGTATAGTGTTTCTACTAATTTGAATAGTATAAACATTTGTCACTTGTATTTGTAAATGTCTCATTGCGAGAAAACCTTCTCTTATATCACTAAGCCTGATGAACTGATCTTGTCGTGGTGTTGTGAGTCTTCCTCTTTCTTGTCCACGTCGTCTCGTATGGTCGTTTGTTTCTCGAAAACGTTAAATGACTCGTGATATTGTAGTATGAGATACTCCTAACCTCAAGCCTATTCCACGATAATTTAACCCCACTACATTAGCTAAAGTAATTGCCTGAAAACATTCATCTCGGCTCAGATTTCTTGAAATACAGTCCATGTCAACTATATAATATGCGCATAATAGCAAAACAATTTTTTGAATTGTAAACAATATTGTTAGTTTAAAACTGTCCTGTCAAATTGTTTGATTTTTCATAGCCAACTAACTGCTTCCATTAATGAGTATTACAATTCGATAAAATCACGTTATGCTTTGAAAGTACTTTTCTTTTTGATAATAAAGAAATCAATGATTTTTTTACGAAAATGTCGAAAAAAATGAAGTTTATTCGAAATTTTAATAAGACGTTTACTTTTAATAAATTCTACAGGGAATTGCAAAATAAGATAAAAAAAACTTATTTGTACACCCGTATATGGATGAAACGTTGAATTTCCCAGAACACAATAATACAGTAATTATTAAGAAATAGGTCCGCAGTGCGAAAAAAAAATCATCGAAATCCAATTAAGGATTCAAAAGAAAAATAGCTTAAAAATTGTGATGAGTTAAGGTAGTGCGTTAATTTTGGAGAGTAGAAAATCATGAAATGCTTTGAACATACTTTCCTTTTTTGATAATAAAGATATCGAGATGATTTTTTTACGCAAATATGGACAAAGAATGAGACAATCTCGAAATATTCTTCTTTATTCAATCTGTATTTTTACACCCCGTATGTAGGTAAAACATTGACATTTTTAAAAAACATTATTATAGCAATTAATTAGAAATATACCTATAATGTGAAAAATAAATCATCAAAATCCAATTAATGGTTCAAAAGAAATATAGTTTCAAAATCATAGTTGATTCAAAATCAAAAATGGTTTTACCATTTTAGGTGGTGCGTTAATTTTGGAGAGTAGTATATTATTTGCATTAACTATATTTAAGTTTGCTCCCTAATATAATAATGGACGAAATAATACAAGCAGTACGTAAAGGTCATAGCTACAGAATGAGGAACAAAGAAATCCAAAGATTATGTTGTGCAGACGACGCCGCACTAATCACCGAGACAGAAGAAGAGCTCCAAAGATTAACACATATCTTCAATACAACAACTAAGAAATACAATATGATAATATGAGCAGAAAAACCAAATGTATGACATCTAAATACCCACTACAATGTAAAATCGAAATTGATGAGGAAAATAATAACGTAGGAAGCAAGGTTTAGATATCTTGGACTACATATAACTAGTTACGGAAATGTTGAAGAAGAAGTATGACAACAAAGCTTAAAAGCAAGTTGAGCGGCGGGATCTCTTAATGACACAATCTGGAAGAACAAACACCTAAGACAAGACACAAAATACTAGACTAGACTAGACTAATAATCTATAAAGCAACAATTAGACCTATATTAACATACAAGGCGGAGACAAGACCTGACACATCTAAAACGAGACGACTACTAGAAACAACAGATGAAAATAGTCCGATGAATATTAGGGAAAAGTCTGTTGGATAGGGAGAGAAGCGAAAACATAAGAAGAGCATGCAATATAAAAGACATAAATGGATGGGCGACAAAACGAAAACAGGAGTTGAACGAACACATCAGTAGAATGGTAGAGGATAGAATAGTACGAATAATATGAGATAAGTCACCAAATGGACGAAGAAGTATTGGCAGGCCAAGAAAAAGATGGTGTGAGAATTTAAACAATTTAGAAGGCCAATATTGAAGAAGAAATAGGCTTTAAAGTCTACATACAAGAATTAAGAAGAAGAAAAAGAAGTTTGCTCCCTCCCACAGACCCTTCCGCCACTTCGGTCGTCCATTTTTTTGTATACTCATTAGCACAGTTCACCCACAGGGATGTTTTATAGAACTGCACAAGTTCATTACGACCTCCAATAGGAGCCTCATCAACTGCTTGTTCTAGTTTGTTAATAATCAAATCGGCTTCAGCCCGATCTAGTTCAACGGTGTCTGTGTTCTACCACCTTTCTGAATATTTTGTTACGGTGCTATATGGCAAAGTCTGATCATTAGCATCTTGGTTTCTTAGCGCAACTCTGTTGCGTGGAAGGGTGATGGTATTCTTCCGAAGCCTCTTTTTATCCTCTAGTGTTGCCGATTTGGTTTTCTTGGGATTTGCTATGGTCCATGTCTTAGCAGTCATTTTCTCCTTTTTCAATTGTAAAAAATAATTCTTTGATGTATGTGCTAAAAAACAATTATATTGTACTAAAGAGATCAGAAATTGTTATTGTGTTGAAACACCTTAGAATTTTTTGGACTTTCTCTCCTAGTGATTGACTTTTAATTACTTAATTTTATTGATATTTTGTAAGAAGAGACTTTTAATTATATTATTTGTAGATATATATCAGAAACTATTCATGTTATAACTTTAGGAAAAAAAATTCCTTAGTAAAAGTGGCCACGAGAAATCGCTGGAAATAACTTTCAAGATTCTGGATTAACCGCTAGGGGGCGTAACCTGCGAAGAAAATTTTGAAAACGTTTTTTGGGAAATATGTCCAATTATACCAAGCGTTAAATAAGTAAACTAGAAAGGGGCATGAATTCTGCACAAAGTTGTTCAAGTACTTTTTTTATTTTTTTCAAATAAAGGGTGGGGGAGAGT